AAAAGGGTCCCTATAGCCCTGAACTCTAGGATAGGCCAGTACTCTGAAATTACTAGCATATCATAGAGTCAGTAGTAAACACAAAAGCTCTAAATGAAACAGTATTATGCTGACACCCCTCGCCTGATTTTTTCCAGTCTGCAAAATTGCAGGTTGCTTACTTTTCTTAATATGCAACATTGAAAATGTGTCTGCAAAATGCAGACTGCAGAAGGCTATTTCTAACAACAGGGCTTGAAATACTGGGTGCATGTGCACTTTAGTGCACCCAAATTTGGAGCTGTGCACCCAACTTTTTATCTGTGGGTGCACTGGTGCACCCAAATATTTTTGAAGGCATTTTTGTATATTTCAAAGTGCACCCAAATTTGGAGCTGTGCACCCAACTTTTTATCTGTGGGTGCACTGGTGCACCCAAATATTTTTGAAGGCATTTTTGTATATTTCAAATGTATAGCATACAGGATATTCTTGGCATCTAATTGTCAAAAAAATACCAAAATCTTTGTTGTAGTACTTGTTTAATATTTTAAAGTAAGCTCCTATTTCAGATTCAATCTTTGAAGAGGAGCAGTAAGATCTTATATGGTGCACCCAAAAAGTTTTTTGTGCACCTAATTTTTTAGGTTGGGTGCACCAGTGCATCTATTCCCCAACATGAATTTGGAGCCCTGAACACTGCCTGGCATAGGCCTGTAAAACAGCAGTTCAAGATCGACTCAGTGTCTTCCGAGGAACTTCAAGTCGTTTATCAGGATCTAGGCTCCTTAAGACTGTGATGGATCTGACTTTAAGGAGGTTTTCTAAGCGATCGCTTCTGTCTTTAAGGAAACCCACCCTTGAGTGCCTTATCCCTCCAAAACTCCTTCAGTATAATTACACAGAAGTACGGGTGAACTGAAGATGGGGGGAGGGGGGCTTGGCTTCGCAAGGGTTTTTCTCTCCTAACTTCCAACTTCTCAATACGATTATTTTTGTGTTCCAGAATCCCTGGTCAAAATATGCTGTCCTTTCTTTCAAACATTGCCTTTGTTTTCGCTTGTTTTATTAAGTGTACCATTCTAGGGAGGGTCAATGAAATGATACTAAGAATATTTACGTAAATACACAAACATACACCTGATTTTTTACATAACCAAAACAGCAG